TTTTTTTTACTTAATCATATTCTAGAGTAATCCACAAGGGATCACCCTGGGTATTTGAGAAGCAAGAATAAAAACAGATGTACATTTTCATCTGGAAGGTTATTCTTGAGAACTTAGAAATCTAATGTAATGAAAAGGTGTACATAGTGAGGTAGGCACTTAAAACTGGAGTTGAGAAAGGAAAGTAGAACTGGGTGGCGGAGGAGGGGTTGAGCATTATAAGCATAGGGGTGATCACTAAAGCAATAGAAAGAATCCGTTTTCTGAAAGAGGGAGCATAAGAAAAGGTACAAAGACAGCCAAGATTTGAGTCTTTGGAAGTGCCCACAATAAAGGGATGAAATAGCTGGTGGGAAGAGCAGGAAAACCAGAAAAGCACAAGGTTAAGCTCAGTTTCGAGAAAGGAGTAGCTAACCGTGATCTTTAAGAGAATAAATTGCAGTGGAAGACGGAGTACAGCTTTCAGTGAGGAAGGAAGTAAATAAAAATATTTAATGATAACTTTTCTCCAATTCTTAAATTTTTGGAGTAGGTATGATTATTTGCATTCAAGACATAAGTAAACAGATGACATTTATAGAAGTTCACCTAGTTATTTAAGATAATACAGGTAGTGAATCATATAGATGATATTTCCTACTTCAAGAGCAATGCTCTTTCCACTCCATTCAAGCTATGAATGGAGAGGAAACTGAGAGAGTTAACATATGCCAGGGCCTTAGGGAATCTTGCTATGAAATAAAACAGAAATAAGACAGTGAGGTGGTCACAGGAGGGTTTACAATACTAACAGTAGTATAAACATACAAGAGGAAAATTGAGGCTTGGAAAGGAAAGATCATTCTCTGCAGGGAATCAGTATTTTGAATCATTTGAAAGTGTTGTGTCTATAGACACAGAGTTTTAAAATATAAAATAGAATGTTTCAAATATTAAGTATCACTGTTCTCATTGATAAATTTAGAGAAGAATTCACCACCAAAGTTTCTGGCTTTTTAATTTAAAAAAATGAAATGTGTAACTCAATTATTTCTCTAGATTTGCAGCATTTACCATTCAGAGCTATACAGTCTAAGTGGGAGGTTGTAAGTGGGAGAAATCTCATATTTCAGTGGGTGGTTGGTTCTTCAGCAAGCTAAGGAACACATACTGTTCTGATTATGGAATGATTGTTCTCCTCTGTCAAAAATGTGAAATATTAATTGGTCAAGGAAAATATGATAAAGAAATGGCTCAATTAAAACACATGAATGTGTTTTGTTTATAGATAGTTCTTAAAGGCCCTTATAATGCTCAGCATGTACATCAAATTTTTTCCATCTATTTTTTCTATTCTAAGAAGAAACTTCTAAGGAAAGCTCACTATGAAAGAATAAGAATTTGAGAATGGCCAAAACACACTGTGGAAAAAAATAGTGGTGGGATGGAGGACTTGCTTTTCCAAAAAGGAAAACATTACTTCAGAGTCTTTGTAAATGACACTATGTGTTAGTACAAAGAATAGATCATTGTAACAGGCTAGAGCCCAGAATTAGATCTCAGACTAAATAGGAATTTAATTACAATGAAAATGGTATATCAGTTAGGATGATTTGGACTGCAAGTAATAGGAACCCTGAATCAAACTGGCATTAACAATAAGGAAACTTCTATCTCATTATGGGAATCCCAGAGTTAGGAAGGGCTTCAGATTTGGTTAATTTGGTGACTTAATCATGTTATCCAAGACTATTTCCATACCTCTGCTCTGCCATCCTGAATGCTATCTTTATAATTAGGCTTAGGGCAAATGACTACAATTTCTCAGGAATCACATCTAGATATAATTATCCAAAGTGAAAAAGTGAACTGTATCCCTTGTCTTGGGAAAAATAAAACTTTTTCTATAAGTCTCACGTTACATTATTTTTCATCACGTCTATTAATCAGCCACACACCCATTCCTATAACAGTGATAGGGAAGGGAAACGAAATTCCTTTTAGTCTTACTACTGCTATAAGAAATTGTAACCCTATTTCACCCAATTTTTTAAAAATCTCAGATGAACTTTTAAAGACTTTGTTAAAAAAAAAAGAGAGAGAAGAGAGAGAAAAAAAAGAAAAGAAGCAATTAAAAATATCAGAAAAATCATCTAGGAAACTAAAGTATAGCTTAAGGGTTGGGGAGACCTTTTATATAAGATAGGAAATCTGAAAACTATAAAAGAACAGAAGACATATTTGAATACTTGAAAATTTTTAATTTTTATGGCAAAAGATTCCATAAGTAAAACTAATATAATTGAGAAAAAGTAATTGCAAAGCATACACCATATAATGGGTAATATAAAGAGCTTTACAGATTGGTATGAAAAAGAAAATTTAGTAGCGAATTGAATAAATACAAAAGGTCAGTAATTATTTGAAAAAAGTCTCCTAACTTTTAGTCAGAGAAATGCAAATTAAGGTAATAATGAGATATTACATCTAACCCCTCAGAAAGGGCTGTAGGAAGAAAGATATTTTTGTTTATCACTAATAGAAATGTGAATTACAGCCTTTATGGAAAGGTATTTGTTAAAATATATGTACATATACCCTATGACCAAGCAGTTTCACTTTGAGGAATTTGTCCCATAGAAATAAAAGTACCCAATACACTAGAGAAATTTTACAAAGCTTTTTTTCACAGCACTGTTTGTAATGGCAAAAAAAAAAAAAAGTATGAAATCACATGAATGCTCATCTGTAGAGGAATGGTTGAGTAAACACTGATCTATCCACTTTGTGGAATATTAATGCAACTATTAAAAATAATTATTTGTATCTAGTTTGGCTGACTTATAATTGTTTCATGATGTATTATTAAGCGTGAAAAATATGATGCATAGAAGAGTATATGATATCAACATTATAAAACATGACCAATCACCCCATACACATGTAAATACATTTGTCAATATCTGATTAGAAAAAAAGTATGAAGTGATATGTACCACATTGTTAATACTGGATTGGAGGTGGAGGAGGGCATAAAAAAAAGTTCTGTAAAGATATCTTAAAAATCAGCTTTTTAAAGTTGATATTGTAGTTTGAAATGAATTAAGGACAAGATGGGAAACACAAAAGAAGTAATATAAATAGTGAATAATAATGAAACAGTATTTTTAGCCTGCAAGATTAACAAAAAGTGATAGTACATCATAGCATGTATCAGAAGAAACATGCACCCCATATATTGCAAGTGTGAATGCAATTTCAAACAAACTTTCTGGAGGACAATTTTTATCAAAAATATTTAAGAGTGCAAGGATATTTATCACAGTGTTGTTTATCATGACAAAAATTAGAAAAAAATTTAATAGGCAAGTCATTTAAAATATCATAGTTTTTTAAATAGTGGTAAGCATTATGGTTATGTGGGAATTGTAGATTGATATAGAAAAGCATTAATATTTTGAAGGTGCAAATTCAGGTTACAGAAAAGATGAGTAGTATTATCTCATTTTTAAATAAAAAATACATACACCATTTCCACAAGGAACATGAAAATATTAACAGGGAATAACAGTAGTGACATCCAGCAACAGCAGAGTTCACATTGTCTTCAAGTGCACATGGAACATTCACTGAAATACACCATATTTTAGATCATAAAACAAATTTTACTAAATTTAAAATAACAGAAGTCATGTAAGGTATATTCTCTGGCCATAACAGAATTAAACTAAGAATCAATAAACTAGAAAGATAATAGGAAAATCCCCAAACACCTGAAAATTAAACCTCACACTTCTAAATAATTCAAGGACCAGAGTGTCTCAAAGAAAGTTAGAAAATATTTTGAATTGACTGAAAACGTATACACAACATATCAAAATTTATGGGATATAGCTCAGAAGGAGGAATTTGAAAAAAAGATAAAAGAGAAAGAGGAAACCACCCTGGAAGCAGGGTTTTTCAAAGGCTGAGAGAAACAAATATTAGAAGAATTTAACTTTCTTAATTTTCTTTCTAAATTATTTTGCCTTTGATTGTCAGATCAGCTGTTTTGACTTAACTGAATGAATAAGTAGCATAACCCTATCTCACTTTAAGGTGGAACTAGGCATAGCAAAACAGACATGGTGAGTCAGTAGATTGTATTTGTTTTGCTTTGCTTAACTTAGGAAAATCAGAATTTATATAACTTTAACTAAACAAGTCTTGCTAGATAGGAAAAACACCAACAGAAATTATCATGTTTCTGGATACAGCCTCAACTACATTTGATAAATAACTATCAACAACACTAAACTAACATTTTATTTTTCTTTCAGGGACCCAGAGGTGAAAAAGGCTTTAGAGGTGAAGCTGTAAGTTTAACTAAATTTGTGGTAATAGTATCACTGGTCACTAGGTTATAAGCTCTATGAAAGCAAGGACCTTTTTTGATTTTTTTCATTATTATGTCCCTGATACTTGTGGAATGAAAATAAAATTACAGTTTTCAGGAAGAAAACTAACCTATATATAGAACTAACCTATATGGTATATTGCAGTGAAACCTGATAAGCCCTAAACATGTTTAAGAATCTGCCAGTCACATTCTTTCCAAATCACTGTGTGAAGTTGAATATTTGCCTTCTCAGGCATCAGGAGAGGAGGTGTGAGTCTTCTTCACCAGTGCCAGATCAGGAGGACTGACTGGCAAGTCACTTTAGATATATACCACTAGATCCAGTCAGCACCCAAGAGGGCTGCAAAGCAGAAGCAAATCATTAGTTGTATATTTCAGCCAACTGGAAACAATGGTGAGAGGATGGGCAAAAGGTACACAGCATTTTCAGGACTAAATGGCTTACACTGGCACTGTTTCCTATTTTTCTTGGATGTCAATTCTTCCAAGTTAAAGAAGATATTTTGTAAAGGGGCCACTTTCCCAGCAGAACTTCTTAAAGCAGCAGTCATAAACAGAGGGCATGCACAGAGTGAAATGAGGGGTACTGAAACCAAGTATAGAAGGCATATAGGAATAAAACTGAAGATAGCATTAAAGTCTTGCTTAAAAGGTAATGATATTATATAGTGACAGCTGAGATCTTTGCTTTTCACCATAGGGTAAGCTTGGGGCTCAGAGTAAGTAAATTACAGTTATATTAGTTTGCTGAGGAAGGAAATTTATGTGATTTCAGATAGCCTAAGAATCCTCAAAGGGTATTAAAATAGATGTGTTTAATTTGCAGCAATGTGTCTCAGCAGACTTACTTAACAGGAAGCAAGGATGTTTGCACACAGTGAAGCTATATGCCCCCACCCCCCCCGCCCCCCGCCCCGCTCCCACAGGAGAAGTGGAAAGGGAAAAGAAAAAATAGGGAGGCTTGGAATTAACCCATATTCCATACCTGTCTCCAACTGCCTCCCTGACCTATCCTCTCCAAGTACTGTGGCTAGAACATAAGCTCCATCGAGATTAGGAAACCTCGAGTGCCTATGACAATGGCTGTCACAAGCACTTCATGTGAAAAAAATTCCCTATTTGTACACGTATGTGACCTTCTTTCTCCAGATACAAAACATTAAGAAGAAAAATGATAAAAGGCTTGAAAAATCACAGTTCTAAAGTGAATCTTGGAGATTATCTTCACCAAACCTATTATGTTACACTCGAGATATCTGAGATCCAAATGTGCAGCAGCTCCCTCAAGGACATGCAGCTAATTAGGTACAGAGATAAGACCAGAGCCCAGATCTTCCAAATCCCAGGCTATTGTGCTTTTCTATTAATCATAGTACCTCTCAGAAAATAAGGGTCAGGAGCAACTTGGGCAAGGAAGATGGATGGTATGTACACATTCTTCACCTACTTTAAGAGCAGCCCACATACAGATTCCACATGAATGGATTCCTGATATGCAGTTATCCCCTAGGGCTTATAGGGCATAACTCATGAATTCACTCATTCCATCCTAATCACATTACTGTCTAGTAATAAATCTTATTTAATATTACTAAACTCCCAATTAAACCCTCTAAACCAGTGGTTTTCAACCAGGAGCCATTTTGCTCCCCCTCCCAGGAGACATTTGGCAATGTGTGCAGACATTTTTGGTTGTCACAACTGGAGAAAAGGGAAAGGTTGCTAGTGGCATCTAGTGTGCAGAGACCAGGGATGCTGCTAAGCAGCTACCGTGCAAGCTTCTCAGTTTAAGAATGAGGAAAGGGAAGCTCTTTGTACATAAGCCAGCCTAAAGTAAAGATCCTGAAACTAAAGATTGCATTTATGTAAAGGCAAAGTCTACCATAGTCAGGTTTAAGGACATACACTTACCAGTATTTTTCAAATTTAATGAAAAAATGTTACTTTTGAAGGATCATATGGAAATTGTGGGATTAAATGGAGAGACAGTCTATTTTCAAAGGTAGTGCTTTCACTACAGCCAAATAACCAGTATAACCATTCACATTAATTTGGTTCCCCTATAGGAAATTAACATAGACAATTGTAGTTGTATTATAAACTGTATGATAACCTTCTTTATATACTTGTTTATATAATATCTAGAGAGAGTCAATCACTTTTCCTTAGTGGTGAGTTAGGTAGAAGAATAAAAATACTATATACATATAGTATATAGTATATATAGTATTTTATACTATATATAAAATACTATATTGTTGGAATAATATTTTGTTTTACTTGCCCTTATTCTATGCATTTGCTTCATTGGGGTTGTCCTGTCCTGTCTTGTTTGGTTTGAAGTATTTCATTTTATCATACTTGTGATGATCTGACTCGTTCTGGGTAACAAGCTGAAGTGAACTCAGTAAAAATAGTTTCTTCTTTCCATGACAAAATGCTTTTTCACAGTCAAAGATAAGGTAGATATTTTGTACTGAACTTTCAGTGAGATTTCGCAAATGTCAGAAATAGGCTAAGTAGAGTAAAATGTCAACTGTTTATTTTTACAATGCTGATCCAAAATGGAGAAACTTACACAGCCAATTTCACTCTTGAGCCTCTGTATATTTAATGTTTATTTATTTTTGGCTGTGTTGGGTCTTCGTTTCTGTGCGAGGGCTTTCTCTAGTTGTGGCAAGCGGGGGCCACTCTTCATCGCGGTGTGCGGGCCTCTCACTGTCGCGGCCTCTCGTTGCGGAGCACAGGCTCCAGACGCGCAGGCTCAGTAATTGTGGCTCACGGGCCCAGCTGTTCCGCGGCATGTGGGATCTTCCCAGGCCAGGGCTCGAACCCGTGTCCCCTGCATTGGCAGGCAGATTCTCAACCACTGCGCCACCAGGGAAGCCCGAGCCTCTGTATATTTAAAAGGCTGTCTCCAACATGAAATTTCTCTAACTTACCATGCCACTTCTGAGGTAAAAGTTTAATGCATTTTCTGCTTTAACCTATAATCATAAACCATGCAAACTAAGAAATGTCCAGCAGGCATGCTGTTGGAGTACTCTACCCTTTTTAAGTTACTATGTGTTGTTTGTTCTTATTGTCACAGTATATTTAGAATCAACAGCTTTGGCAATAAAAGATACTTAAGTCAAGCACAGCATTAACATTATTCAAAACTCAGTTGAAGATAAATTTTGCTTTGCCCTCTTTTAACCATAATCTGAATTTGACTCAGTGTAGTTTTAACATTCAACTGACCATCCAGTAAGTTAAATTTTGAGCATTCTTAACAGTGATTACTGTTGTTTCGTTTTGAAAAATGTCAGCATAACTTTTCACATTTTACTATATACCTTTCAACTAGTCTAATTTCTAAATCAATACTAGTTAAACATTATTCCTTCATTCGTTACCAGCCTTTGAACGCCTACTATGTATTAGGCACTATTCCTGTTCCAGAAAATGAGAGGATGACTAAGACACTTTTAAAGGTCTGTAAGGACTTTCCAATTTGTTATGTACTATATGGAATGCAGCAGTGGTTAGTTGAAGAAGGTGGCAAGGTGGGTATAGAGTTTTAAAGAAGTATTGGAAGAGGAATGGGAATTAAATAGACAGAAAAGGTAAGGAGAAGCATTCCTGGTCAAGGAAATAGCACATGCGGGAGAATTCATGTGTGAAAGAATTTGGACGATTCAGAGATCTGCAAGTGGTTGGTTGGTAGGATGGGTTGGGGAGAGTAAGTGGAAATAAGGCCCAGACCTTGAAGAAGAGGAAGGGGTGCATATTGACTAAGAACATATACTTTTGTATTTAACTGACTTGGATTTTAATCCTATCTCTGCCCTTTACTTGCTGGTTACTTAGCCATTCCATTTTCTTAACTGCGAAGTAGAAATATAGCATACAACTTGGCATACGGTGAGTTCTTAATAAATGAGCACACAGCTTGACACATAGTGCACTCTCAGTAAATGGTATCTATCACTGAAAAGAAGTTTATACTTTATCCACTAAACAGTAAAAAGCCATTGAATGATTTTAATTAAATAATGATATGATTAGATTTCCATTTTATAAGTAGAATGTAGTTAGCATAGTAGAGAGAATAAAGTCAGTAAGTCAAATTAGGAGTCCATGCACAGCGTGATATCTTAGTCAGCTGGGGCTCCTATAACAACTTGCTGTGGGCTGGACGGCTTAAACAACAAACATTTAGTTTTCATAGTACTGGAGACTGGGAAATCCAAGGTTAAGGTGCTCACAGATTCCATATCTAATGAGGGTCCTCTACCTGGTTTGCAGATAGCTAGCTGCCTTCTTGCTATGACCTCACACGGTAGAGAGAGAGCATCTCTCTCATGTCTCTTCTTATAAGGGCCCTACCATTCACAAGGGCTCCACATGATTTAATTAGCTCCCAAAGACCCCACCTCTAAATATCATCACACTGGAGATTAGGGCTTCAATATATGCATGTAGGAGGGGACACAAACATTTAGTCCATAGCACATGATCAGCACGAAACTAAGAGTTGCTGTGAGGATGGAGTAGTAGTATTTTGGGAAGATTTGGAGGTCAAATCAACAGTAGTGGGTAACCAAATTATGGGTGGATGTTGAAGGAGAAGGAGATGTCTAAGGACACTGAAGTTTCCATTTTTTACAATTAGCTGTATGGTAGATAGAAATAACAGGAAAAATAGAATTAACATTGTTAAATGTCACATTTATAAGTTTATTAAAATGAATATTTAGTTTCCAGTAATATCAACAAAACATGAGAGTATATATTCAGCTTGTTGATGAATGTGGGTGACAGCTGACTTCAAGAACATATTACTTCAAAATACTAAAATAACTTTGAATCCTATCACTTGCCTCATATGAAAAGGCAATGATAGCAGTTGAATCTTAGTCATCTTGTTTATACCAAACCAAAAGCTTAGTATATACATATTGTGCTTTGTCTCCATTTCTTCTAGGGTCCCCAAGGACCAAGAGGTCAACCAGGGCCTCCAGTGAGTTTATTTACATTTATATCTGTTTACCATTGATGCTTATATGCCTACTTGGTTTGAGATATCTACTTAATAAATACTTTAAAAATCTTTTTATGTTATAGGGTCCACCTGGAGCATCAGGCCCAAGAGTAAGTTTTCTTGGTTTTGTTTATTTTATCTTAGTATAAGATAATTTTTTAGGGCTTCCCTGGTGGCGCAGTGGTTGAGAGTCCGCCTGCCGATGCAGGGGACACGGGGTCGTGCCCCGGTCCGGGAAGACCCCACATGCCGCGGAGCGCCTGGGCCCGTGAGCCATGGCCGCTGAGCCTGTGCGTCCGGAGCCTGTGCTCCGCAACGGGAGAGGCCACAACAGTGAGAGGCCCGCGTACCAAAAAAAAAAAAAAAAAAAAAAAAGGTAATTTTTTTAAAGCTTCTTCTGTTAACTCCCTGTTAAAAGGTATCCCTATTGCCTACCTCTGTTCTTTTTGTTAATCTGATATAGAGTCTTCCCAACTATAATAAAACTTGAAATCCAAGCCTCAGAGTTCTTGTCTATAAAATGGGGATGGTATCTCTTACTTTCTTGGGTGGATTTGAGTTTTAAATAAGAAGTAAAGTACTCAGCACAATGTCTGACATAATTAATGCTCCAAAATACTAACTCCCTCCATTTCTTCCTGTTTCTCTGGGTCCTAGCTCTCCTTTTTCAAATGTTCTTTTTTGACAACCAGAGTTATCCACTTTTTAGGCTTTACATGAACTCTTCTCAGTTGCTGCTGGCCATAGAAGCCCTGGGACTTCTCATGTATTTGCTCGTGACCGATCACAACCCAAAACTTGCTACTCCTGTCTTTGAGGTGATACTTCCGTTACTTCATTATCCGCTATCATCTCCTGGCCTCAGTGTTCCAAGACTGGTTTCTCTCATGCGTTGTATCCACTCTCCTACTCAGTAATATCTTTGTTTTCCTGCTTTCTACAAGAGGTCTCCTTCTATCTTCAACCTCACCCATGCCCCATTCCTGCAGAATCAGAATCCTGGTCAAATGCAGTGGTCCTTGGTCGGATTTCCTGCTTAACGGAAATCTGCTGTTGGCTACACTGTCCAAACAAATGGCCAGTCCTATGCCTTCCAAGCCTTACTTATTTCCACATGCTTCTCTGGTATCATTTGGATCTTTGGAAGTTCTACCTGGTGGATCACTGTGGTCCACTCCCAGCAGGTCAGGAGCTCTTCATTCCCCTCAGCTTTTCATCAGGGCAAGGAAAAACTTTCAAGCAAAGTGCCACAGGAAGATGGTCTCCTTGGAAACAAGACACCTATTTCTCTATGATTTTTTAAAATTACTCCCCCTTTCTGGCCATCTGACTGATGGGGATTGAAACCTTCCCTGGCATGAACATCAGTGGGCATGTCCTTTTTTAAATCTTTATTCTCCACTTCTCTGTTCTTCCTTTCCTCCTGGATCCTCACAATGCATGGGTTAGAAAAACCCTCATCAGTTGCCTTCTCACCTTATAATGACTTTGCTATATCATAGCTGCTTTCCTAATAAAGAACAAGTTCTAAAAGGTCATATATCATTGGCAAATTAGAGGTGTTTAGTGAAAATTTTCACACTGAAGTACCAAATTTTGGGGCACCACATCCCTGTCTCACTTGAAAAATGTTTGTATGTGTTCCTCTACAGCCAAAATGAATTAGGACATGTGAGAGGTTTTTGCTCTGAGAAAAATGTGGATAAGAATATATACTTTGAGGAATTATTAGGAGGATTAAATGAAAAAGTATATGTGCTTGACACATTATAGGTACTCAACTAACATTAGTTTCTTTGTTTCCATCTTCCCTTTCTCTCCTTTCTGTCTTCCTTGTTCCTGGCCAGTATGAAACCCAGTTTCTTTATACTGTCTTTCTGGGACTTGCAGAGACCACTGTAGGAAAGTGGCAGTGTAGCCTTGAAAAAAAAGACTTTCAGAGTAGAAGTTTACATGCTGATAAGAAAACACCTACATATTCCTTCTAAACTCGAACTATGATCGTATCTTCTGTGAGACTCTTCTTAATTCCATCCCCTCGTTGCACTGCAAGATAGAACTGATCACTTCCCCTTCTTCATTCATACTCATTTATTTTCATGCCCATATCCATGTTATTAGACTGTGAACTCTCTGAAGGTAAGCAATGTGTTCTGTATCTCTTTTCCATTCAAGCCCTTAAGAAGTGTCTATTGAATGAATGAATAAATGCAAACAGGCAAGTTGCAACTCTTAGAAAATTTCAGTAGGAATCCTCCAAGCCAGAAGACTTCACTTGGAGGGAAATAATGTCTAGAATGGAACAGGATCATATTAGAATTAGAGATAGAAGTCTTCTTAGTAATTATTTAGTAATTATTTTAGACTGTGAATTGTCACTCATTAGGTGGTGGATCATAAGATAAACATGGTGAGTCTCAACAGTCTTTTGAAATGAAATTAAAATAGGAAAATGTGGGGAGTGACTGTTTAATGGATACAGGGTTTCTTTTAGAGGTGATGAAAATGTTGTGAAATTAAATAGTGGTAATGGTTGCACAACACAGTGAATCTACCAGAGCAATAAACTGGATACTTTAAAAGGACTAAAATGGTGAATTTTATGTCATGTGAATTTTACTCAATTTTTGAGAAAAGCACAAAAAAGAACACCCTAGGACCTACTGTACGGCACAGAAAACTATATTCAATATCTTGTAATAACCTACAATGGAAAAGAATCTGAAAAATAATAGATAAATAGAGATATAAATAGAGATATAGATTATAATATGTATAACAATCACTTTGCTGTATATCTGAAACTAACACAACATTGTAAATCAACTATACTTCAATTTTTAAAAAATGTAATAAGTATATCACCACTAGTAGGGAAAAATATGTTTTGTAAAAGTTTTCAGTTAAATATATGTTTGTGTGAACTTTATCATGATATAAAAATGTATTTATTACTATGGGTCAAGATAAGAGAAGTTTGAAAACCTCTAACCTAGTCCAGCCCCCTCTTTTTAAGACCTATAAGTAACTTGCTCAAGTTCCTAAAGTAGAATAGCTAAAGAGAAATGTTTCAGGAAAAGGAATATATACTGATGGTGCTTTTGAATTTGAGGATATTATCAGGGTGACGACCAGACCTCAGTGCGCATGGTAAGATATTTAGAAACTGACCAAAAAAAAAATTACAACAGGATGTCAAAGTTAACCACAAATGGTTGGTGGGATAAAGGATGGGGATGTGTGTGTGTGTGTGTGTGTGTGTGTGTGTGTGTGTGTGTGGGGGTGTGTGTGTGTGTGTGTGTGTGTGTGTGTGTGTGTGTGTGTGTGTGTGTGAGAGAGATGTGGGGAGTGGAAATAGTAAAAATTGAAAATCATTAAATGAGATAAGGAATTTTCAACTTAATGATACCAGTTAATGGGTCAGCTGTGAAACCTGGATTGGTGAATTGAGAGGTTGCAGCAGCTGCAGGTATCATCCTAGTTCCCTAGAACAAGCAATTGCCTCTACCATGGAGAGGTGCATGACCTGAAATCAGTTCCCACCCCATAAATGTTTTCACCATCCAGTGATCTTAAAATTTTAGATGGCTGGAAAATAACACTTCTTAAAGTACTGGGATGCCCAGACTGTATCTGCATTTTACTCAAATAAACTGGAAAGGAACTGTGAATGTTACATCCCCTCAAGGTATAATGAATCCTCCTAATTTCCTTCATTTGTCCCACTAATCCTGATAACTCCTTATTCTTGGTGCACGTTTTTATAAACCTTAAGCGATTTTCATGTGAGAATATGTTCTCTCTAACTAGAGTACATGGAGGAAGCTATTTCTTTTGGATTCCCTTATTGGACCTAATGAGAGTTTCACACTTAGGTGGGGACACTTAGATGTTGCTGAATGACTTCCCAGGCAAATCATCTTAATACCGTCTCTCTGGGCCTGCCCTCCCTAAAGGCTACCCTTGGGAAAAAATAAATTCAGCAAATTGAATGCCTACTATGTGCCAGGCATGAGCTAGGATTTGGGAATACACTGGCATTATAGGAATTAAAAATTTTATGAGTAGCCAAGTTTTATGACATTCTTTTCTTTCTAATGCCTATTGTGGGGGAAAAAACCCTGCCTTTTTCATTGAGTTGACATTTGTACTGTTGGTGGTTAAAATTGCTAGTACCTTAGCTTGAAGCTAGTACCAAACGCTACACTACTAATCTACTAAAAGTCACTGTATTCTTCATTGCCACATTCTCACAGAAAACAAACCATGGTCATTTCAATTAAGAATATCCTACAGTTTATTCATCCATCCAGTCCTCTATTCATGGGTGTTTAAGTTGTTTCCAATCTCTTTCCTAATACAAACAGTATGCATGTCTTGTCCATATACATATTTTGTGGAATATCTCTAGGACCTGTTCCCAGAAGTGGGATGGTTAGCTGTAAGGGATAATGAGCATACTTATTTACTTATTATTTTTAATTGCGGTAAAGTATACATAAAATTTATCATTTTAACCATCTTTAAGTGTACTCTTCAGTAGCATTAAGTACATTCACATTGCTGTGCAACTATCACCACCAGTCATCTCTGGAACTTTTTTTCATCATCTAAGACTGAAACTCTGATCCATTAAACAGCAATTCCCCATTCCTCCCTTCCTCCGTCCCTAAAAACCTACCATTCTCTCTCTCTATTAATTTGACTACTGTAGATACCTCCTATAAGTGGAAGCATATAGTATTTGAACATTTTTGTCTGGCTTTCTTCACTTAGCATAATGTCTTCAAGGTTAATCCATGTTGTAGCATGTGTCAGAATTTCTTTCCTTTTTAAGGCTGAATAATTTCCATTGTATGTATATACCACATTTTGTTTATCCAGATGGACACTTGGGTTGCTTCCACCTTTTTCTATTGTGAATAATGCTGCTATAAACATAGGTGTACAAACATCTGTTTGAGCCCCTGCCTTTTTTTAAAAATATATCTTTATTGGAGTATAACTGCTTCACAATACTGAGCTAGCCCCTGTTGTACAACAAAATGAATCAGCCATATGCATATATACATCCACATACCCCCTCCCTCTTGAGCCCTCCTCCCATCCT